TTTGTAATATTTTTTGTTACTTAACTTTATTTCTTTATCTTGAAAAAGTCTGCTTTTGCTCTCTTTAATTGAGAAAGTGTAATTATGTTTTGAAACTTACTCATGCAAATTGCAATAAAGTAAATTATAAGTATCGTCTTTCCGTTCAGGTATAACTTAAGAGATCCTCAATCTTTAATTTATTAACTATTGAATATTTTCCCATATGATCATTGATCCTACATTGATCAGTTGGCTAGGGCATCCCATTTCGGCACGATTGGTTCGATCTAAAATTCTCGTTCTTGGCCAGGTCCGGTGTGCCTAGTGCCTGGTGCCCTGTGCCCAGTGCCTGGTGACGGCTGATGTTGCCGCTGCCCCTGGTTGCAGTTGCAAGAGTCGCCGTCGCCATCGCCAGCGACGTCCTCGTTGTTGTTGCCGCTTTTATTCAGCATTTTTGTTTGGGGCAGCCGCTGGTTCGTTGGTTCGTTCATTTGCTGGTTATATATATTTTTTTTCTTCTTATTTTCCATCAGCGACGCCGTCTTGCCTGTGGTACAGAGCCAGGCCAGCCAAGCCATCCAAGCCAAGCCAAACCGAACCGAGCCAGGCCAACCAACGCCATCGCATGCTTCACCTTCGCCCCACCGCACACAGATACACACGCACACACACCGGCACTTTGTGTGGCTGCCTTCCCATTCAACCCACCAAGACCCCCCCCTCCTTCCCCTTCCCCCTGCAGACCCCCTTGGGCCACTGCTGCTGGAGTTTCTTGTTTTCTTTCGACGTCGTTGCTGCCACTGCCTCCCCCATCCACTTGGCCAGGCAAGCAAGCAACCAGCCCAGCCACCATCAACCTTCTGCCCCATCCAAGCCCCCAATCCTCAGTGCTCAGTCCCCATCTGCACCATCCACCATCCACCATCTACCATCCGCCATTCTCCACCATACCCACTCCCCATTCCCACAGCCCACTCTTTTGCCTTGTCGTAATTTTACTTGGATTTTTTTCTGTTCGCTCGCTCGTCGTTTTCTTTTTCTTTTCCTTTCAGCGCGCTGCTTTCTGCGCTGCCTGCGACTCGGTTTCGAAATAAACTTTAATGCGAGCCATTCGTTCGGTTTTGGGGTCTCCATTTCTGCTGCTCTGTTAAATTTTCTGGTTAAATTTTGTGCGCAGTCAGCTCGCGATGCAGTTGAGGCGGGTCTCGATTGGGGCTGCTCAAGGGGTTGCTTAGGTTTAGCACTAGTTAAGATTTCCCAACTTGCTGAGATTGGATCTAGGGGTTACTAGTTCTTTAACTTTAATTCTTACTGGGGTATACCAAGTCACTAAATACTTAGGAAAATGTATTTGTATGTTGTTTCTTAGATTTAATGGATTTTTTCTCCTAAGAATTATTAAACTGTAATCTTTAAGAATGGGTTTTCAGATATGTTGATATCTACTATGATGATATCTGACCATATATCACTAGTCTCATTTAAGTAGTTTTAGCTGTGTATTGATTCTTAGTTTACAACGGCTAGATTTAATATATAGATTACGATCATACAAAAACCTCCTTAAAGGCAGGACCTTGGCGGCTTTAATCCTTTGGCTACTAAGTTCGACTTCTTTTGCGCAGTCTCGCCACTGAGCAGCAACATCGCCCGTGACAGCGGCAACATTGCAAGTTGCCGGAATGCTGCTGCCGTTTATAGTTTCACTATAAGGCGCACATATGAATTTTGCCATCGCTCGCTTTTTGGCACGCAAACGCACACAGCACAGCCAAACGGCAAAACAGCCAACCCAGTCAGCCATCTAGCGAACGTCCTCGACAAGCCCAGTCAGCCAGGCCAACGGCAACGGCAACATCATCAGCAGCAACAACAGCAACCACTTCAGTTCCTCCGACCCGCCAATGCCTCCCATACCATACAATCTGAAAATATAGAAAAAGCAGCGACATTTGGGACGTTCGCTGGTTCGTTCGTTCGCCTGGTACGTTTACGTTCCGACGTTCGTTTTTGTTGGTATCGCTGCGGAGCGCTCTGAGCCGGAGCCCCAAACACCAGATACAGATACGAGCGCACACACTCGTCTACAGATACAGATACAGATACAGTGCCAGGCCAGGCCAGCAACAATAACAACGGCAACAACAGCAACCTTCCTATATGAGTGCGCCCGTGTACATATACAAATGTATTTTTATATAGAGTCGCAGCAACACGCGCACTGGATTCAACGACGGACACAATGCTCTACGGGCACGACTACGACTGCAGATATAGATACGGACGGAGGGCCAAATTATAAATATGGGGTTGGATCTTGTTGGGGGAAATGGTTTTTGGTATTTTTTTTTTGGAGCTTGCTTCAAAAGCGCTCATTTCAAAAGTTTCAAAAACATAGTCGTTACTTTCCTAGCCAATCCTTTTAATAACAACTGTACGATATATTGAAAATATAAGATTTCATCTTAATATTTTAAGAAATATATTGAATTTAATTAGTTTATATTTAAAATCTTTATAGAATTATTCATATCAATTGTTTATATTTTGGTTTTCAACTGAAAAAAATGATAAGAGGACAATTATAAATAATTTAAATGAATCATAAAATGAAAACCAAAATCGGTCTTAAGCGGAAATAGCTATACTTTTCCAATTTTTAAACCAGTATATTCTGACCGTCAAAAAATTCAATTTTTAAACTAACCAGAGATGTATCTCTTTATTTAGATGTTGTTAATATAATTTGTTGGAATTTTGATAAACTTCTACTGTGCGTTCCTGGAAATTCAAAAATCTCTCGTAATATGGTGATATGGTTAATAAGTCGGAACTGGCTAAGCTGGCCGCAATATGACCGCAGCATTTTATCAGCTCCACAGAATTTCTCGAGTGACGCAGATGGCAAGCAGTTCCGAGACCGAGAATCTGGCCGGCGATATGGTGTTCAGTTCTTGGGGCAGCGACATCGATGTGGACTGTCGTCATCGCCTGAGCTGAATTTGAATGCAAAGTCGAGAGTTGCAGAGAGCTCTTGTTGCTGCTGCTGCAGTTGCAATTGCTGTTGCTGTTGATGTTGCAGCAGCATCGGCTCAAGAGCAATGCGAATATAAAAATGGTGATTCTGTTCTTCCGCTCCGTTTCGGGGACGCCTCTCGGGTGTCCAGGTTTTTATTAGCACCCGACTAACGGACACTTGTCCGCTCGCTCTTCCTCTTTCACCTGCGCTACCTCCTCAGCAACTCAAACAAAGCCGCCTGCCGGTAACTAATTTTCGAAAAAAGCCAAGATGATGATGACTACTCGTGGCTGGCAACTTCGGTCGAGTACGAAGCGGGTTTAAGTTGTCGCACTTGCATCCTGTTTGAGGTTGTAAAATTTGAAATCTTTGTGCATTCTATCGGCTTATTAAGTGAATTTTTATATGCCTGATTTGCATTCTTTGAAAGTTAAATTTTAATTTACTTCGTTTTTTGTTTAATGGTATTTTTTTTGCGACAATTAAAAGCTGATGATTTTAATGCTATCGTTTAAAAGAACTCTGCATACGTTTTTTTATTATTTGGAAGCGTTTATTATTATTTGATATTATCGAAAATGTACTGGCGCTGTATACTTAGTTAGGCAAACATCATGGTATAATTGCCTAATCAGGAAACTAAGAAAGGAAAACTTATAAAAAAGTAGTTCATCTTCATAAAAATTTAGTGCTTAAATATTGAATTTGAATTTCCACTATGGCGCCCTCACAAGCATAACGTTTAAATGCAGAACTACAAGACGTCACCTATTGGCTAAATTACAACCAACGAAAGAGTGACTGTTTCCACAACTACCACTAGGGGCGCTGCTGGCCAGAAACAGCTGATATATAAAGTGCCATACCAATTTGCCGTTTTCCAACACTTCCCATAGAGATGGGAAACATCGATAGTATTTTGCAAAAACGAATACTCGATAAATATCCATACCTTCGGTAACCCATCTCTAATTGTAGTGTAATTTCTGATCAGCCAACAAAAAGCCTTTGTTAAATAATGATGCAACACACAAAGCGCATGGTAAGTAAACTAATTAAGCAACAGGGAATTTGAGTATTAAATTGTTTGTCCACTGTAGCTGACTCCTTTGATGAGCGGCCTGCGAAGTTTGCCGGCACGCGGTGCAACAACTACGACGGCAGCGGCGCCCGCCAAAATTGAAAAAAGTAGTGGTTGTACGTTTCCCATGTGAAATTACTCAAATTATTTGTTTTTCAAACGCAGCCGTCAACACGGTTACCATTTTGGGTAGAGTTGGAGCCGATCCTCAACTGCGTGGATCCCAGGAGCACCCGGTGGTCACCTTTTCCGTCGCTACACACACGAACTACAAGTGAGTACGAGAACTTAGACATGTGTGAGTTTGGGCACACATGTGTTCGCAATTGAACTTGAAATCGAATCTCCAAGGAGGCCAGACAGTCGCGGACATCGAAATAGCAGTCTTAAATTCCTTCTTCCTGTTAAGAACACCATACATTGAACAGAGAAACTGTTCAACTAATTGTGTTCAAGATTTATACGTAATCTGTTGTTCCTTTCCTTTTCCTAATGTTGGATTGAATCATAATTTGAACATTTGAACTTCAAATGTAATTTTCAATGGATCCTTAAGCTAATCTTCTTAATGTAGTGAAATATTAAAAGCTGAGCTTTGGTTTTTAAACCGTATTAATTAATTTCGAATAACCTTCCACAGATACGAGAACGGCGACTGGGCTCAGCGCACCGACTGGCATCGTGTGGTGGTCTTCAAGCCCAACCTGCGTGACACCGTGCTGGAATACCTAAAGAAGGGGCAGCGCACGATGGTGCAGGGCAAGATCACCTACGGAGAGATCACCGACCAGCAGGGCAACCAGAAGACCAGCACCAGCATTATTGCCGACGATGTACTCTTCTTCCGCGATGCCAATAACTAGGAGTTAAGCCTAAAAGACCAAACCTAATCTTAAGCACAAAGTTAAACTTCAAGCATTGTAAGCATTTATACTACTCGTATGTATATATCGTGTTATCAGTTTGTGGATTACATGCGTAGTTTTACATCACATTTGACCATGGGCTTAAAGTCGTTGTTCTGTTGGCAGGGGTATTGAGCGATCAATTTGCTAGGTTCCATTTTCTTATTTAGCTCTTCGAACTCCCTCTGAACCTTCGTGACCTCGCACTGCAACTTTTCGATTTCCTTCTCCAATAAGATCAGGATATTATTGTGATAATCGATGATCTTGGTAATCTGTGGATTAATTTATTTAAGGTCTTCTAAAATCTTTAATTACCAAGAAATACCACAGATTTGGGAGGTAGTTTCGCGGAGGCCTCTTGGTTGTACATTTCGATCTCCTCCCTATGGTGTTGCACTGGGCGGCTGTTTTTTCGGCGGACACGAGTAATTCAGCAAATCCTCGTAGGTGGCTCGTGCCAGGGGATACGTCCGACAACCATTGCTGTCAGATCTTGGGCAAGTCTGCTCCAATCGGGTGATTGCCTTCTCCGCCTCGATCAAGTTTGTCTCGTTCTCATGTAGTTCCATTTCCAACTTAAGCATACTGCAGTTTATGGCCCCAGCATTTGGTCCATTGAGATTAGCTGATAGGTTAGTACAATATGTTATTCGTATACCTTTAGCTAACGATCCCTTACATTTTTGGCATTTTCCAAAACCTTTTGCTCCTGCTCCTTGATGAACTCCATTTTTTTGTTGAAGTCCACTTCCATCTCGAGGGTGTCCCGCATTAAAATATCAGCCAGCATGTCCAAATAGAGGAATGACGAAGGATCTGAAAACTTTGACTCACACATAATTTAAAAGTTTGTGTATTTTGATTCTGTTTGTACATATGTTATCTTTAAAATTTTGTTTTTAAGGCTGTGTGATAAACCAGAGCTAGCTTTGGTGGGATCTGTTTATGTTCGAATATTAAGATGTCTTATAAATTGCCACTTAAGACTAGCCAAAGATTTAATACTTTTTTACACGTGCCTAACAAGATTGGTTCGAATTTCATCCACCAGAGATATTTGCTTAGCTACCAACTTGGAGACTCAGCCAGACCCGCGATCCACAAGCTCTCTCCATATGTGAGCTTGCGACGACCTTATCGCTGTAGACCACCATGAGTGTGTGTTATTCAGCCCGAGCTCGATGGGCTGAGAGACACAGTTCGCAGTTAGTATTTGCCAGTTCAAATGCTGCCGGCGGTCGGAAGAGTTGATAGCTGATCGAGTGCTTCGTCCGCGGTTTTTTCTTTCGAGCACGTTGTTTGCCCGGATTCGATTCCATCTTCGCGACCCCAACTATCAGTTGTACTCCGATCCCCGTTTTGCGGAAGATGACGATTTGCTGAAAGCCAATAACACCATAATAACTACTATATATAATCCTCGAATAAATTGGCAAAAGCCCTTTACAAACATGGCTGTGGATTATGTGCTGGAGGATCTGATGGGGAAACTAGGTGAGTAAGTGGTGAGAGGGTTTCGGAGCGAAGACTTTTGAAAGGTCAGCTGTTACGTTGCCAGGCGTCTCCATCCCCATGCTGATAAGACCCAGCGTTGAGCTTATCATTTTGAGAGGTCTTATCAGCGATGCAGGCGGCTATGGATAATATTTGATTTCACGCCGGCCAGGTTGGCTTATAGCCGACGCTATGTTCTGCATTCAGATTTTATAATTAATTTTTCGGTATTTCCTTTTCTAATCTCCGCCTAATCTATCCGGCTGGCTGTCCGTCAAGTGCTCAAAGAAGCCGACTCTAATACTATTTTAATTGCAACTATTTTTAATTTTAGCTTTCGCACTATTTCTAATTGAATAAATCCCCAAGGCCGCGGCAAGTGACAGACATCTATGACAGCTCGATAGAGACTCCGACCTGTTGCTCCCCTATATGTAGTATTCTAACGACACATGTTCGTGTGGGCCACGTTCTGAGCTGGAGGCTGTCTGGCACTTGTTGAGCCTTCTTGGCTTTAGCACAGTGACGCTAAAACGAGTGCGGCTAACGAGCAAACAAAATGGATGGGAAGGAGGCAGTTACCGCTGAGCTTTTGTCACAAGACTCCGAAGTGGGCTCGTCATAAAGATCTTGGGATCTACGGATCTCTGCTAATTTATTGTGTTGTATACTCTAATTGTGCGGTTTAAACACTGCAGTTAGCTTGTGGGAGCTTCAAAACAAGCCTGTTTATCTGCCTTATGCAAAACAGTTAATAATAATTGTGGGAATACAGTGAAAGCTCGACGGGCGATCTAAGCTATATATCATATGGCACAATCCATTAAATTCCAGCTTCTGCGTATGGCAGATCATAAAATGTTCCAATATTTCCAATTTTAATTATATTAACTTGCTATGGAATACCTACAGTTATTGCAATAATGTTCATAGGTAACACTCTGAAACTGGTTTTCTACTTAGCAGTCGAGAAACCGCAGCCTATAAGAAAGTAAGAGGAGATGGTGAGAGGGAGTAATAAACGCATTAGCGACTTTTTTTAAATCGTAATATGTTTATTCATTCGCATGCAAAAAACTCAAACTGGTTTGCTCAGATTCAACTGTATCGCAAACCCCTCAGCCCTCAAAATTCACATACCGCTCTTTATTTTGTTGAAGGCCTCTTTGGTGTGGCGAACAGCTCTAATTACTTCCAATTCGGAGGCGTGTTACATTCCGAATTCGTGACTTTTTGGTATGGTAAGGTTACCATAAAACCAGAAACTTGCAATGACTTTGAGAGTGCTTCCACATGTTATGAGCGCGCAGCTCAGAACAGAACTAAATCGACCTTCAGGTGATTTATAATTGGGGGAAGTGAAAATGATGAAAATAACTTTTAATTTTGTAATTTTAAATTTAATGGAAAAAAACAACGAACCGAAAGGAAGTCATAAACTAATGGTAAAAACCATGATCTACCTCAATACAAACCAAAAAGATTTTTAAAAGCCAACAAGTCTGTTAAAAGCTTTTACTTTCGAATAATACATGAATAAAATTATTGATAAGAAACAAAAAGAACCCAAAAAATAGTTGTATAAAACAATATCTTGCTCAAAAATACATCGAATTAAATTAATATTATTATAAATTATACGTTATTAGCACAGTTTTTGTAATATTCCACGGCCTTATCATTTCAGTTTATCGCCTATATTGTTCCCAGAGTAAACAACTCTCTAAACCTGCCCTATATTAATTTTAGTGTGCCATCTGTAGTTTTTACACATCATTATAACTGACTATTAAGAGAAGTCAAACACTGAATGAGCCAAATACAAATATGATATTCAAGGCCCTTGCAACCATTATAAGGCTAGTTATATTGTTCGGATGTCATAAATCCGTCGCAACAACAGCCCTGATATATGATTTAGTGGCCCCTGATAATCCGCAATATATTTTGAGCCTAGTTATAATGATTTCGCTTTATCGATTCCGAAAATTGTGGGCAATTAGACGCTGATTATGTCTATTGGGGGCGTAATTGAATTATAAAAATTAAGATTAATTAAGTCATGCTCTTTGCCTTTGACATAATATTACACGCTCGATGACATAATTTTACACTCCACGCAATCGTTTCAATTATGAAAATTAAAAATTCTCAGACGGTTCACTCACGAGTTGTCGATCCTAACGTAACGGGGTGAACGTAACTTTCTATTTGATGGCAAAAGTTTCGCTTAAACGATCAATAAACGTAACCCACAAATCAATTGAAACGGCCGATTGAACATTGGACCGCTCAAGTGTCAAATTCTCGTATCTAGGCTACATACTGTCCATGTCGATAGAAATTTACACAGCCCCTGCCCTCTATCAATACGATCGCATTGGCCAGTCCAGCCAAGTCATAATCGATTCAATGCATTCTCCCAAGACATCCGAGTCTCGAGTCTTCATGGGGTAGGAAAACTCAGACTAAACCAAACCAAACTGTGGGCAAATATTTGACGGGCCATACGAATGCGCTTCAATTGAAATCGAATTGAATAAATTCCACTTGATTTAATTGCAAAGCCTTTGGTGTGACGACAATGCCACCGAAACCCATAAAAAGATCTCATCTACATAAAAGTCGGGCGTTTCTTTAGGTTTTATTCACCACTGGCGCTTTTATCGCTGGTACGTGGTGTTTGGATAATGATTTCAAAATAATTTAGGTATTTAACATATTTTTATTAAAAGAAATATATGCATCACCTATCTTTAATCGGTTTTTTTTATAAAGTAAAGAGAAGATTATTTTTATATTTTAAAATTTGTTGAAGAACTAACTGAAAATATATGTTTTTCTAAATAAATATATAGACTCCTATTAATGTTCCTTTTAAGTTCTTGAAAATTTTATACGGATTGGTTAGAGGAAACCCTTCACTTTGCGATAGTGATAGGTGTGTTTGTTCAGTATTAGAAAGTGTGTGATCCATTCTAGAGATAATAGCTATCTGCTTTTCAGCTTTAAGCTGACTTGAGTAATTTCCGACCTTTCCCAACCAGTTTATAATTGTGGGTTTTTCTGTTTCCAGGGGAATTTGGAAAGTACCAGTTCCTGCAGTTTTTCCTGCAGGTGCTTTCCGGCTTGACCGCTGGTCTGCACATGCTATCGCTGGTCACCGTGGCCGCCGTTCCCGAGCACCGGTGCTTCATCGAGGGCGTGGATAACAGCACGTTGTCGGTGACGCCGTGGAACTCTAGTGCCATCCTGGCCGCCATCCCGCTGAAACCCAATGGCGAGCTGGATTCCTGCCATATGTACGATCCATCTATCCTGAGCTCCAATGCCACCGTCAAGTGCACAAGTTACGTATACGACACGACGTACTACAAGACCTCGCGCACCATCGACTGGAACTTTGTGTGCGACCGCCGCTGGATGGGGGCCATTGTGCAGACGGTGTTCATGCTGGGCGTGTTCACCGGCGCCGTCACCCTTGGCGGACTCGCCGATAAAGTGGGCCGGAAGACCGTGTTCTGCTGGTCGGCATTGTTCCAACTGATCATCGGCGTGGGTGTGGCCTTCATTCCGGAGTACTTCTCATTCATGGTGGCCCGCTACCTGCTGGGCATCGTGGGATCAGCGGGCGCCTATATCTGCGGCTTCGTGCTCACCATGGAACTGGTGGGACCCAGAAGCGTACTGTTGCGGCATTACCTTCCAGGTGAGGGATTAGTATTAAATCTTTATTATCTAATTTTCCATATAATTATATCTCATTACTTTCAGGCTGTCTTCGCTGGAGGCATCATGCTGGTGGCGGGATGGGGAGCACTGATCCATGACCGCCAGTTGCTGCAGGTGATCTATGGACTGCACGGCTGTCTGTTCCTGGGCCACTGGTGGTGGCTGGATGAATCTCCGCGCTGGCTGTGGATGCAGGGTCGTGCCGCCGAAGCTGTGGATATTGTGGCCAAGGGCTGAGGATCAATGGATCGGGCATACCGGTGGACAAGGAGTACTATGTGCAGAAGCCAAGCAGCAGGCGGCAGCCGAGGAGAAATCCAGTGCCGGATTGAGTGACCTGTTCCGCACGCCCAACCTGCGGATGAAACGTTGAACGTGTGCCTCTGCTGGTTCGCCAATCCCTGGTCTACTACGGTCTTTCGCTGAGTGCCGGCAAGCTGTACGGTAATCCCTACCTGATCCTGTTCATCATGGGTCTGGTGGAGTTCCCCAGCTACATAACCATTGTGTTCGTCCTGGATCGCCTGGGTCGTCGGTCGATCACCTCCACCCTGATGTTGGGTGGCGGTCTGTGTTGCATTGTGGCCGCCTACATTGCCCAGGGCACCAACACCTCCACGGGTGTAGTGATGGCGGGCAAGCTCCTCATCGCCGGATCCTTTGCCGTGATCTACAATTACTCGGCGGAGCTGTTTCCCACCGTGGTGCGAAACTCGGCCATGGGCTTGGGATCCATGTGCGCCCGTCTATCCGGCGCTCTAACTCCACTCATCACTTGTTGGACTCATTTGATCCGAAGATCCCGGCCGTACTCTTTGGCGTGGTGGCCATCATCTCGGGCTTCTGGGTGATGTTCCTGCCGGAGACCATGAACCAGCCCATGCCCGAATCCATTGAGGATGGCGAGAACTTCGGCAAGGGCGACACTTGGTTCAGCCAGTGCGCTGGTCGAAAGAAGCGCCAGAAC